CCCTTCACATCGATGTTTCTCTCTCTCTCTCTTCCTCTCTCTCCCTCCCGCTCTATCTGAACAAAAAATGGAAAAATGTCCTCGGGTGAGGATAAAAAAAAAAAATTTTATTAAGACTTGTTTTGTGGCCTAACATATGATCTTTTCTGGAAAATGTTCCATGTGTACTTGAGAAGTATGTATATCCTATTACTTTTGGTTGTAACGTTTTGTGAATATCTGTTAAGTTCATCTGATCTAATGTGCTGTTTAAGACTGGTGTTTCCACCTGGCCGGTGTGGCTCAGTGGTTGAGCATCAACCTATGCACCAAGAGGTCACTGGTTCAATTCCTGGTCAGTGCACATCCCCAGGTTATAGGCCAAATACCCAGTGTGGGGCATGCAGGAGGTAGCCAATTGATGTACTCTCTCATTGATGTTTCTATCTCTCTCTCCCTCTCCCTTCCTTTCTCTAAAAAATCAATTTAAAAAATATTTTTTAAAAAATGTATATGAAAAAAGAAACAGTGTTTCCTTATTGCTCTGCTGTCTGGATGATCTATCCATTGATATAAGTGGGGTATTAAAAAATATACTACTCTTATTGTGTTGCTGTCTATTTCTTCCTTTAGATCTGTTAATATTTGCTTTATATAATTAGGTCCTCCTATATTGGGTTCATATATATTTATACATGTTATATCCTCTTGTTGGATTGACCCCTTCTTCATCATTATGTAATACCTATCTTTATCTTTTACTACAGTCTTTGTTTTAAAATTTATTTTTTAATAAAATAACTACTCCAGCCAGCTTTCCTTTGGTTTCTATTTACATGGAATATGTTTTTCTATCCCTTCACTTTTAGTCTCTTTGTGTCCTTACATCTAAACTGAGTCTATTGTAGGCAGTATATAGATGGGTCTTGTTTTTGTTTTGTTTTTTTTTAATCTGTTCGACCACTCTATGTCTTTTGATTAGAGAATTTAGTCCATATTCTTTTAAAGTAATTATTGATGAGAATGTACTTACTGTCATTGAGTTAACTATTTACTGGCTGTTTTTGTGATTCTGCTCTACTACTGCTTTTAATTAGAACTTGAATTTGGGGGTGTTTTAAAGATCTCTGCCTGTCCCTTCTATCTGAGATGTGCCTCTCCTCCATTTCTGCCTATATAAATCCTTTCATTCTCTAAGACTGCTTAAGACTCATTTCCCTATAGAAGCTTTCCATGGTTTTTTAGGCAGATGCAATCTATCTTATAAATTCTTATAACATTTTATTTATATAGCTCTCCTAGAACATATCACATATTACAAATTTCATTATAGTTCATTTTGTATATGTCTTATACTTCTTAATAGAATATAAATTCTTTAAGGTTAGAGACTATTGTTTCATTCATTATTGGTGGCCCATATCATGTAGCATAGGGGTTCTTAACCTAGGGTCCACAGATTCCAAGAATCCATCTTCAAAATTTAGGGGTTCTGTGAAGTCAGATGAAAAAAATTGTTTTCACTAACCTTTCATTGAAATTTTATATTTCCTTAAATCATGGAAGCAGGCAACAAACCATAAAATAGTCATAGTATCTGTGACATTGTAACCAATAGAATCACAATATATTTTATGACACTGTACTTGTTGAAGATATATCAAAATATCATTTATGCTTATCACTACTTCAAAATTATGACATTTTAGTCCTTCCATTAGATCTTAGTGTTTAATGCATTAGTAAAGTAATATTTTATTATCAAAAAATTTAAGATTTAAAATTTTAATATAATTCATTTTCTCTATAATTCCATAGATTTTACTTTATGCATTTAAAATAAGAAGAGACCCATAGATTTCACTAGACTGTGAAAGGTATTCACGGGGGGTTGGGGCGTAGTAAGTAAATAAGAATCTCTCAGTTCCAATACAGCACTTTACAAAATAAGGGGGGGAGGGGAGTTGTAGAAAAATAATCATGATACCATATAGTTCTTGACTGGGGCTATAAAAAATACTATGAACTATAAAATATTGTATAAACATATTCATAAAAATCCATAGCCCTAGCACTGGAAAAAGACAGATTCGCTCTCCTCTACAGTAGCCCTATTAAAATGCAATTAAGATTTCTGCATACCTCCAAGGACAATTTATTATCTTCCAAAGATTATCCCATACATGGACAGCTACAACTGTTCAATAATTGGTCTTATTATAAACAATAATCTGGTTCCTTGTAACTTGTTATCACTGATCTGCATTCTATCCCCAGGGAGCTAGACAGAATAAATTCAATCCCTCTCCCATATGACTTTAATCTTTAGAAACAACCATCATGTCATCCTTGATCTTCTTTTCTCTGGGGTTAACATTACTAGTTCCTTCAACCATTCCTCTTATATAATTTTGCATCTGTTATCATGTCAAATTTCTCCTCTGAGAATACTTTTGAGTCCCTCTTAAAGTGTGGTAATTTTCAACTCAACACAATACTTCAGATGCATTCTATTGAGCAGGCAGTTCAATGGGACTACCACCTCTTTGCTACATACTATAATTCTAGTAATGTTGACTGAGATAGCACTGGGGGTAGTTTTTTAGCAATATTCACCATACTAATTCCATTGCACTTTCTGTCACCTTAAACACATAAGCTTTTTTATTATTATTGTTCATGTGCCTGTTATTTAAATTTCCTTTAGTAATTACTTGTGCAGTTAGCAGTTTTCTTCACAACCTCTGGACTTGACAATACAATCTATTAAATTTTATCTTGATGGTTAGTTTTAAGTCCATATTTTCGATTTGTTAAAACCATTTGTTTTGTTTCTTTTATACGTTATATTCACTGTTTCTCCCAGATTTGTGTGGCATCTGTAAGTTTGATAAGCATATTTATTACTTTTTAATATTTGTACTTACTATATTATATCCATTAACATACACTAAAAATGACTGAATTCTGATGCCTAAAATATATGTACTGTAGAAAAAAAAGTTCTGTAAAGTATTTAAAAGATGTTCTTCAATAGTAGAAATATAGTGATAAAGATCTGTTTAATTGGAGGTCTCATCTCCTAAGTGTCACTCTTCCATCAAATCTAAACATAGTAATAAAGAGGAAGACTATAAAACTAATCATTACTTGCAAAAGAAAAATGATTTAAAATTCCCTAGTAATTCAGACAAAACAAAATAATCACAAATCAATTTCTTTATTTTTATACTAAAGAGTCCTCTAATGTATTTTGAAAACCACTTTCTTATAGAACTAAATCATCTTTCTGGTAAATCACAAGAGTAATCTATCAATCTCATTTATTCGGAGATTATTGTTCTGGCAGCCTCAGTTAGTCTAGAATGCAGCCAAGAATGTGGAAAATAAAGTCTGAGCAGTCAGAATAGTCTGCATGATGTCTATGCACTAAAGAACATGCATGTTACCTATATCTCTCAGTAATTCACGCAGACATATGTGTTCATATTTTAAATATAGTCCAGGATGTCATGATCATCTAATTTCATAATTTATAGATTAATAGGAGAAAATTAGAAATTATTCACAACCAAGCAAGAAGTACCAGCCTGCAACCTAAAGAGGAAACACACACACACACACACACCACTGAAAAATATATCTATATCAGGCACATGCAAGAACTCCGAAGTTTCGTAATTGCAGAGAAATAACCATAAAGCCAAACAGTCCTAATTATCCCAATGATCTCTGGGGGCATCATTATATTATAGCATGGTAAAATAACTTATATTTATAATATGATAAATATCATGATACCTCAAATTTATGTAGTTCAGAGTTCATAAGAGACTTTTATATTCATTATTATGGTTAATTCTCAAAATGTTTGAGTTATCAAGTAAGGTGTTGGTACCATATTAAATTTTAAATTCTGTGGTTCAGGGAGACTGTAGAATTTACCCAGGGTCACATTAATTGTCAGATAGGTATTGGATTTCATTGTCTACTGCATCATGATCCCAAGTCATCAAATAATATTTACATTTCATGCTATATAATGTGGCTAGTAAGAAGAAAAACATGTAATACATTTTAGAAACTTCCACAAAAATTGCTGATGTTCTGAACACATCCACAAACATTAATTTAAAACTTTCACAAAAATTAATTTGAAACTTTTGAAACTTTTGAGCCCTTGAAGGAATAAAATTAAGTTACATGAAAAATTCCCTCATATCAAATCTCTATTTCCCTTTAGTACCACTGAGGTATAAATTTAACTTACAATGTTAGTAATAAATCTAGAACTATTAATTACCCTACATTTTAAAGTCTAAAATCTGTACATAAAAAATTAAAGAACATACATATTATAGCAATCGCTTACACTTGATTTATTTAATTAAAGAATATTATTAAAGAGTCTTTCATCTGTTTTTTAGGACACACTTGAACCTCAGCGGGTCTTGGGAGAGAGCGGAGAAGGCCGAGGTGGGGCAGCACAGGAGATGTCATGTGTCAAAGCACTTCCCCCTGAGCACTTAGCTTTAACAATATTAGAAAAATCTTCTCTTCTCAATTCGACCACATTTGGTGGTAAAATAATAATACTTATAAAAATGAGGAGAAATAAATTGTTTGGGTTTTCTTTTTGCTTTTTAAGCAATTGATCTTTTCATAGTAAAACACTATCCAGCAAAAGGAAATAAGAGAGAAAAAAATTAAAAATGAAGTTGCAGCTGAAAAAAACTCCTGCTACCGTTTTTCAGGGCAAGGCTTACAGTCCGTTTAAAACCTCGATTTGTTATCATAAGAATCATAAAAAAAAAAAAAAAAATGCACAAAGTTTTACAGAAATGGAGCTATCTGCTTAACAGTCCTAATGGATCAAAACCTGCCATTGCCATGGTAACCCCTGAATAACTTTTTCCCAGCTAGTGCCAATTATGCACTTCTCTGGCCCTGAAATCTCACTCCCTTTTTTAAAGGCCTGGAATCTTTAAAAGAATAAAGCCCACAGTTAAGTCCACACATACCCTCTTGTTCAGTCCGAGTCATTTCCTCCAGCTTCTTCTGTTTCAGTGTGTCCACCACATCGGCAAGGCTCCCTTTGCGGCGTTCTGGGGTTCCAAAAGTAACACTGGTCATTATCTCGCGGTCCCGACTCCCTTCGTCAGGCTTATGTGGTGAGGTAGAGGTATTTCGGAAGGAATATAGGGAACATAACTTATTATTCTCTGACTCCTAGAAAAACAAAATAAAATAAAACCATTGGAATATCTGTTTCTTTGCATATCATTGGGGGAAAAAAATCCCAAACTTAGACTGACAATACATGATGCTTAGATGGACAAATAAAATATATTAGCTATCTCCGCCTAAAACATACTAAACATTAAAGAAACAATTATCAAAGGAACTAATCTGAAATTGCAGATTCAAACTGTTTATTATTTTTTATTAAAAACAGCAAAAATGGTTCACAAATAATTTCAAAATGGACACTTCAACTTTTTACTCATTTACACCCTTCATTTAAAATAATTCAGATTCAGTTATCAATTGTTAGGATTGGTAAAGTTTTTCTTTAAATTGACAGTTTTGTTAGCACAGCCTTAAAAACATATATATCACAAAAACATTATTATCCTTGCATTTAGAAACAGTAGAGAAATTAGCTTTAATAACCACTGTTAATTGTTCACCAGAAAATATATAAAATATCTAAGTCAGCACCAGAAAGATAACTAACCTGAATATTTTTGTGTGCTAGAGTTTGAGGAGAATCACTTCTTTCTAGCTGTACATCTGTCAAAAGTTACAGAAATCTCTTTCTATTCCTTTCCTTTACCACTGACATTTCAACACATAGTCACACATGTTTTACATGTGGCATTTAAAAACGGTTTGTGTTTTTGTTTGTTTATTCACAAAAGAACAAGTTTGTTACAGAAACCTTTGCACAAGAATTACTTCATAGTACAGAGAAGTTGGCTAACTGTGAGGAGTAATAATTAATCTTAGATTAAAAATAACAAACACCTAAAAGTTTATAGAAAGAAAATGTTTTCATATCTCTCTAAATCAGAACTGAGGGTTGAAAGCAAGTACTATTTGGCCATAGCCTATCAGTAGTCTTGTATTCACCTTATCTGTCTGTGCCTGGGTAGTCTCTCTCCCAGTTAATTTTTTTTTTAAAAAAATGTGAAATAAATAAAGCATCTAGCTTTTATGATTCTTATCCGAACCTTGAAAATCTTAACTGCTCCTATATTTCTCACCATCTTCACAGAGAATCCTGGCAAGCATTAAGAAATAGAGGAAGCCAGGCTGGTGTGGCTCAGTGGTTGAGCATCGACCCATGCACCAAGAGTTCACTAGTTCAATCCTGGTCAGGGCACATGCCCAGGTTGTGGGCACAATCCCCAGTGTGGGGGTGGAAGGCAAGCAGGAGGTGGCCAATCGATGTTCTCTCTCATTGATGTTTCTCTCTCTCTCTCCTTTCCTCTTTCTCTAAAAATTAATAAAGAAAAAAATCTTTTTTAAAGAACGAGAGAAAGAAGCAGGAAGTAAAAGTTAATAATTAGTGGGAAGGGGCCATGGGGACGGAATCTCAAGAAGTAAATTTCTACATATATTAAATAAGATAATAATTGTACTTAATAAATGCTAGATATGTAGATATTTTTGCCATTATATGGAAGGCAAGAATAAAACTTATTTTCAGGGTTATTGGGAGCATATAATGAGATAACATTTATAAAGTAACTAGACACAATGTTGAGCCCATAGGCAGTGGTGTTTAATAAATGGTAGGTGTCATCATTCTGATGGAAGGAGCAAGCCTAGAAATGGAGCCAAGGAGGAGTTTCCCCCTCTGGATATAAAATTTTTTTAGTAAAAAGTGTTATGAGTCTTTAACTAAATTGAATATTGTGAAGTCTGTGAATATACTAAAAAACACTGAATTGTATAGGTCAAATGAATAAATTATTATGTGTATTATATCTCAATAAAGCTATTAAAAATATTGTGAGTGAAGGAATTAAGCAAGTAAAAAAAGAAAGACTCATGGACACAAACAAGAGTGTGGTGATTGCTAGAGGGAAGGTGGAGCAGAAGGAGGTAAAGGGGGCATAAAACGGTGATGGAAGGACACTTGACTTGGGGTGGCAAATACACAATACAATATACAGATGATGTAGTACAGAATTATATACCTAAAACCTGTATAATTTTATTAACCAATGTCACTCAATAAATTCAATTAAAATAATATTGTGAGCCAAATCTTAATCTTTTCTGCATTCCATTGCTAGCACACTGCCTATCACAGAGCAAGTGCTCATTACATTTATACTGAAACAAAGTGAAAAGGATAAAAATTAATGGTGCAGGGCAGGCAAGAGAGTTCTTCTTTACCTTGGTCCTAGATCTTTTCCCTCCCTCTGAAAGATGTATTTCATCAATGTTTACAATAACTTTGTGGAGTGATGCAGAGAAACCCTCTTTGATGCCAATCATGTGTAGTGCATGGCTTTTTGGAAGGGCCTATTATTCATACTTCACTGTGTGCAAACAAAAACTGAGATATGTTTGCAAAGCGATTTTGATCTCTTAATCGTGTCCCTATCAGAAATCTGACCTAGGTGTTTTTGAATTGATAATCACTATTTGATCAATCATGCTTCAGTCACTTTCATTTCAAATGCAAACTAGTCTTATATCAAAAGTCAAGAACAAAAACAAATTCTGTCTCAACCTAAGGGATTAAGGACCAAGTCAAAACAACAGGCATGTAGAAGTGGTTACCTACAAATGACTCACCATTGACCATAAGAAAGCAAATTTTTCCATCACTTGAAACCTGGCAGGAGTGGCTCTCCAGCCTGAGTAACAACTTTGTTTGTCCTTGAAGCACTTCGGCTCCAGATAGCACCACTTTTTTCTCTCGGGGCTAATTTCAGTCTTATTTACTCATGTCACTTACTTTTTAGATCAACTACGTTTCTTGTTTTTTTACTCATGGGAATGTGGTCACCGCCATCCTGCACCACAGACAATAACCATGGGTTCCTACATCAATGACCCACACTGTCCTCATCCCCATAATCTGCACAAAGTGGCTCAACACTACCAAGAAGTGGGGAGCAAGAAGCTGAAAAGTCATGTTTCTCCAGGAAATCCACAAGAACTACTTGTAATATGTCACCGAAGCACCAAGATAGGCAGTGAGTGAAATCATACATGGCTTATGTCATATAAGTAATGTTACAGCACTTTTAGGAACAATGAAAAGGGGCAAAATTTACTATTTCTGGCCCCCACTTTTTAACTTTCTAAAACTTAAAAAATATTGCCCTTTTCATGAGTGGAGGCCTATAGGCAATTTATGTGAGGAAAGGGGCACATCAATCCAAACATTTACAATGAAGAAATTACTGCTGGATACAAGGCAATAATGCCAAATTAGAAAGAGACTTGACAAAGAATCTCTAATTTTTTCTAAAGGGCTAAATAATTTTTAAATAAGTTTTCTTAAGAAAAAAGCTCAACTTATTCTGTAATTTCCAGAAACAAAACTGATCCTCTGAAATACCAATTGCGGCAATATTCCCAATGATAATATCTGAGTCTTAATGCCTGTCACCGCAGCACAACTGTGGAGACATGAAATAGTATTTCCTTAAGCAATGATTCTCAAACTTTAAGACATAGCATTCCCTGGCAAGTATGTTAAAATGCAGATTCCCTCATCTTCTCCATACCCTGAAGAGTAGGACTCAAGAATATAAATTTTGATGAACATCCCAAGTGATTTCTGATCACAGGTCCTTTCATTCTGATGCACCCACTTTAAGAGACATCAATCCCTAAGAAGGCAATGAAATAAATGTGCTTTGCCTTAATGTTATAATGCAGACATAATTATGAATAATTTTAAGAAGCCTGGTTAGTTGTAATTTTAAAAAATAACATAAAGGAGATTACCTCTCTTCTTTTGGCCTCCTTGTGAAAAGAACCACTGTATAACATGACTGAACACATGAACATCACAAAAAGCAGAGCACATGGGGCACTGAATAAGCATTAGTTCATTCAAAGGAAGTTTACTATAAATTTGTTTTCTTTTTTTAACCTTTAACCTCAGTGGCTTAATCAAACCTAACAGGAAAAAAATTTTTTTTCAAAATATCATTTAAAAGTATCTCAGTCCTAATGCAAGGAATAAAGAAAGCAATATTGATTCAGATTATCTAAAGATCATTTCACTGGAAATCAATTAAACAAGTATAAAAATTATATGTAGAAAACTGAAAAGTACCCAGGTAGCATCAGCATAAAAGTCATTAGGCAGAATTTCTAGAAAAAAACAAGTAATATTCACAAATTAAGAATATTTTATTAAGATGTTTTTGTGTCTGAAGGGATAAAAAAGTAAATGTTAAAAATAAAACATGTATGTATGGTGACAGATGTTAACTAAATGTATTATGATGATCATTTCACAATATATACAAATATTAAATCATTATGCTGTACACCTGAAACTAATATAACAATGTGTGTCAATTCTGTCTCGGTTAAAAAACATGTGAGGTGATAGATGTTAACTTATTGTGGTAATAACTTCATACATACATATGTCAAATTATTATGTTGTATACCTTAAACTAACACAATGTTACTGGTCAATTATATCTCAATGAAACTGGAAAAACATTAAAATAATACTGCTCCAATTTTTCAGTTGTTATTCAAAACTGATTGTTCAGTGGTAGTATTAAAAGGATGGTCAACTTAGTCTTCTCACAGTACTGTGAATATATATCAAATACACTCAACCCGCTATTCAAAGCTCAGATCACATTGCATTTCATCCTTGAAGTCCTCCCTGACTATACTGAGCCTCACTCTTCTCCTATTTAACCACAAACTACACATCAAACCACATAACTTAGCATTTAATAAAATACTATAGAATAAATTATTCATTACTACTTTGCTTGTATTAGGTACATTTGCAACTAAATGTTAACTCTTGAAGGATTGGATTCTTCTATATTCCTCCAGAGAATCAAACAACATGTTGGCTGATGAAGGTGAAACAACTACTCACCAATATGTCAAAAATTAAGGCTAAGGGTAAAGATTTGCTCTAACAATTACAGGATTACTATTTAAGCAAAATAATGAGAACTGAGATATTTAAAAATAAGGGATTTATTTAATAAAAGATGATA